GCTGTTGAAACAACCTTTCAAGACAGATATTTTCTGGAAGGAATATTCACTAAAATGAAGGAAGATGTAGAGGAACTAATGAAGAAAATGGAGGAAGATGTAGAGGAACTAATGAAGAAAATTGAAGGAAATGGAGGAAGATGTAGAGGAACTAATGAAGAACATTGAAGAAAACATTGCAAATAATGGGAATCTAAATCAATATGATAAAAGTAGACCGATCAACTAGTTACCAAAAATAAAATTACCGTTGTTTGATGGGAGCTATGACCAATGGTTTACATTTCATGTTATTTCCAAAGCAATTGCCTCACAACCACTAAAAAAAATGCAGTATTTAAAAACGAATGTTCGAGGAGATTCATGAAAACCATTTTGTGGTATTAATTCCAAAAGTTAGAAATCTATATACAGGGTGTCCCGAAATTAGACGGTCAAGTTTTAACAGCGTAATCTACATCCTAAAATAGGAGTAAAAGTTTATATAAACATGGGTCCGAAAACGTTTTGTTTTCGAGATACAGGGTGTTAAAAGGGAAGTACTGATGACACATTTTTGTAAATATTTTCTAAACTTTTAAAGATGAAGTGAAATTTGGTACAATTGCTAAACTTTTTACGCCAGTTTTTTCCATTATCTTCATAATACCCCTTTGTGCCATCTGTCAAATTGTCAATTGTCATCTTTCATAAAAATGTGGAATATGGTTGACGAAATAATGTTCATGTAATATTCATAATAAAAGGTTGTAACGGTTACTCTTCTAGTTCCGTTATTTTAATATTTTATAACTATATTTTTAAAATGATTGTCCCATCTCTATTAGGATCATTAGTTTCATTCTGTCGCTACAAATATTTTTGGTTTTATAAGTTGTATGTTCGGATCGAAAGTGAATTTGACTTTCGACAGGTATTACTGGTAAAAGTCCTTTTACAACAATACTTCTGAACGAGGCAGTCGAGATTATTAAATCTGCTAATATTTAATTAATCTTAAACAGTGGTATTTTTATTAGTGGTGACAACCATCAGTATTTTATGATAAGTCAACCTTTGGATGGTTTAAACATACACTGAGAAGATAATTGAAAATATGGTTTAAAATACGCTGAGATGATAGTTGAAGTTATGGTTACAAATATGTTAATTTATGGTTAGAAGAAAACGCATCGTTGTAGGAGATCGTCCTTATTTGACCGACCCTTAGAGAAAGATTGAAGACCTAACACCATTCCTACTCTGAGATAAGTTTCATTTTTTATCATTGAAAATTAAATAAAGAAGTAATTTAAATGAATCATGGCTTGTGTAGATTGTAATTGTTACTTGCCTGCATAAACATATACATTCTTGTTTTAACATCAGTCATATTAATTATATTTGCCAAACTATTATAATTCACCTTAAATGATATGTTTATGTAAGTTTAGTGGCGCCCTCCTTCCCTTTCCTATAGTTAAGTTTTGTCAAGGTTATTAAGTGCTACTCAAGGCCCTAATTAAAATTGAGATAAAACACGGTAAGTAAAACCAACATCACATGAAACAAATTGGCGCCCAACGTGGGCCTAAGAAAAAAGGAATTTGAAGTTTTTATTGGCAATTAATAAATTATATTAAAAAAAATTCATAAGTTTTTTTTAACTTTGGAAAACCGGTTACTAAAGAAATTTTAGAAAATATTTACAAAAATATACCATCAGGACTTTCGAAACGTTTTCAGAATTATGTTTATATGAACTTTTACTTCAATTTTAGGATGTAGATTACGCTGTTAAAATATGACCGTCTAATTTCGGGACACCCTGTATTATAGTAGGTCTAACTGGTCCCTACAGTGAAATAAGCTGTTAATTCCCATAATAAATGCCTAGTTAAAATATGCATACAGGGAAAGAACCTGATAACCACCAGCGTTTTTGTCTCTCTTGTAATATTACCAAAATGGCGCTCATCTCCTGGACCCTTCAAATATAATACTTCAATAACAATCACAAAAAAATTTATATTCATATAAAAAATAAACGATTAAAATTTAACGTCACCAGCATGTTTCATTAAAATATATTAACTTAGTTTTTTTTTGTATAAAATTATTAGGTATATAGTTTTATATTTCTAGTGGACGGTAAAAAAAGCCAAATGTCAAAAAACAGTGAAAATAGCACAACTCGCGGTTGTACAAAGTTATAAATGACATTCTAATTCAATCATTTGACAAATTTGAGATAAAAAAGACGTTTTTAATATTTAATTTCCTTATTTTTCTTTATACGTGGTATTAAAAAATTGGTTTAGCTAAGTACGGTCCTATAATTTATTTCTAACAATTCTAAAGAGTTCCTTTGTTCAACGATTGTCAGTATCATTTGAATTATGTCACAGTCAAAACCAAGTTCTGGGTTTAAACTGGGTCTAAAAGTCCACACTGTATAAATTTATTACCCAAAAAAGAAAATAGATATAACCGCTAAAATGTATTTTCATTCTGTCTGAAAAATTACCTATTTAAATGTTTTTTTATTTTTTTTTTTTTAATAGTCTAGCCAAATTATTTTGACGCTAAATTTTTTGTGAGTTGTTTCGATTCACAAAATCTTTGATATCAGACTTTTTTTTACCATTCACTAGATAATTTTTTGGTATAAACATAAGATTTAGCTTTAAAGATTTTGCTATTAGGATAAAACGTTTGTAAAAAATTTAGTTTGCAACAAATGATACATTTGGCAGTATATACGTTTCAAATGCAATTTGAGCCTTCAGTATAACTTTGTTGAAATTATACAAAAGCTCCAACAAAGGTACATAATTAATAATCAATAGGTGTAATTTCGGGTACATTTTTGAAATAAGTGTGCTTTATTTTTAACATAACTCTGTGATATATCGTATTAAAAGAAAAATTCAATTTGTACCTCATTCTTTAAATTATGACGGAAACCAAAAAAATCATATTAAAAAATTATAAAAGATATTTTAAATTATTCCAAATATTTTTATAATTAGGTATAGACTGGCTGATAATAGTGCAACGTTTTTTTACTGTATTATCTTTTAAGTTATGATTATTATTGGTTTTTAACATGTCTTAGCCATTATCTAAAAGTGCTCGCTTGCAACAGCGCCACTAAGCATATTCGTATTGAAAATGGATGATTCTGAACGATTATTAAATGTATGCAAATTGTTTTTTGTTAAAATTTGAAAGAAATAATCCCATGGAAAATAATTTGCATACGCCTTCTTCGTGTACGATGCCCCGAAATTATTAATTGGACATGTAAAAAAGAGGAAATACTCATTGAAGAACTATTATTAAACGTATGCTATTTCACAGACTTATTTTTGTTGTTAAATGGACCACGAAAAGCTACTTTGCATACTTAGTATCGTAAATGTCAGTCTACCCCATATTTTCTTTTATCTTCTCTTGGGTTTACTTAATTTTTTCTTGCGCAAGAAATATGATACGGAAGACTGCAATAGGTCTAACAATATTTGCAGATACAATGCAAAATGCTATAAATCTGGTTAATGAAGATTACAGTTTCACAAAGGTGTCTTGAGATGACAGGAGTTGCTTACGTTACCCTCTTTCGTTTATCTTATGTGGATGTGGACCAGAGATATGACTATTCCTTCATAAAATAGAATATCTATGATGCCAACATCAAATTAGTCAACTTGGTGAATTTGTATTGAAAATGGATGATTCCGAACGATTAGTAAATGCATGCAAAAATGTTTTTGTTTAAAATTTGAAAAAATTATCATGCATAAAATAATCTGCATACTTTTCATTCGTGTAGAAGGACCCGAAATAATTAATCGAACATATTTATATAAAAAAAGAGGTATTGAAGAACAAAATTATTAAACGCTTTTTCACAGCATGTAGAAATGTAAAAATACCTACCATCTATATATTGCGATGTTGCCACATCTACAAATTTCCCTAGATCTGGGGAAAAATCGAAAAATTGGAGTCGAGTGGCTTACTTTCTACTACTGTCATATGTCATTGCTCCAAAGCTTGCATTTGCATATATGGCACCTCCGTCGGGATTCTTCATACATTCTTGGCATTACTATTATTTCGGTACTCGACTATAGCTAATTATCTAAAAGTGTTTACATGCAGCGACATTATTAAACAAATATGAATTTGTATTGAGACTGGACGATTCCGAACGTTTGGTAAATTCATGCAAAATGTTTTTGTTTAAAATTTGAAAAAAATATTATCCGGAAAATAATCTGCATACGTCTAATTCGTGTAGAAGTCACCGAAATAATTAATCGAATATATATAAAAAAAAGAGGTATTGAAGAATAATACAATTAAACGCTTTTTCAGAGCCTGGAGAAATGTAAAAATACATACCATCTATATATTTGCGATGTTGCCATATCTACAAATTTCCCTAGATCTGGGGAAAAATCGAAAAATTGTCGTGTCTTACCTTTTACTGACAGCAAGTTAAAACTATAATAATCATAATTTAAAAGATGCAACATTGCGCAAAATCTGTCATTACCGGCCAGTCTATTATGAATTGACACATATTTTTTACGCAAGCTGAATTTTGCATAATTATTAACTTCTTAAATTCCTGCTTTATAAGTACCATTTTAAATAACTCTAATAAACTTTTAAATATAAGCGAACCATTATTCCCTGTTCTAAAAATATTACGAAAAATATACTATCCTTTATCAAATTTCGACCAAAAACATTCTAAACACTCTGTACATATTCAGTTATTGATTTGATTATGCAAATTCCCTTAATCATTGAATAAATCCTGGAAAAATTAGCAAATTCTTGAAATCTAATTTATGATTGTTGTTTCAAACGCGCTATCTCTGATTTTTTAATAAAATTTTATAATACGATAATACTCAAAAACTTAATTTTTTTCACAGCATAGAAGTACAAAATTTATCTCGAAATTACTAAAATATAATTTCATTCCAACATTCGTAACAAATTACTCATTCCGTTTCGGACGCTGTCGTTTTCATGACATACTTCACCGTAAAAGCGAAGGCGGCGAATCCAATTATAACGCACAGGTTCGTAATGCACGATTGAAAACTGCTCGGTTGTTCGATTGCTTGAAGATTTTTTTCTTGATCTAAGGTAACGTTTTTCGTTGATTTTCTTTTAACCAGCTCAGCCTAAAATGTTAATTTATTCCGTAATATTCACGATATAAAAAATGTAAAATAAATATAAACAACCTTAGATATTATTAAATATATACAGATGTGTAAGCGGCTTTATAAAACCCGCTATACGAAAAATATAAATTTAAAACCTATTGTTAACTATTATACAGCAGAAATTGCTCTAAACCAGTACTAATACAGTTCTTGTAAATGCCAAATGGTCTTAAATTGTTCACAATAACAAGAATAAAGTCATTTTGCTCTGTACCAGTGCTAATAGTTCTTGTAAATGCCAAATGGTTTTATAGTTGTTCGCAAAAGCGCCACAATAAAGTCATTTTACCATTATATTTTGCGATCGATAATTGAGAGGTATTTTTAGTTGTACCTTGTCTTAGTTATGGTTATTGTCCCAGGGTACCTCTGTTTTATAACCTAAAAATCGTTGTTATATTTCAAATTGTTTACATAGTGTCGAGCCAGGTTAAGTATAAACAAATCGGTTCGGTAGTGACCAAAAACCGCCTACCCGAAAGGGTAGCCACAGACTCCCCCCAAGTCAAGAATTCAGAAGATCCGAATTTCATACTCACTATATTCCAGGCGTAATAAGAACAAAATTGACAAACTTACACACTCTACAACACCACTAGTTCCACAAAATAAGTCTCCCCACAGCCCTAGTCATAGTAGAAACCACCCTTACAGACATGTAAGTACTCCTAATGTCAAGAATGAGTCATATAAATCGAGATAACAAAAATTTCAAAGAAAAAAAGTATAGAGAAAATCCAGATCCCGATAAACCTTGACAATAAGTCGGACCCAGAAAAAGCAGCAGAGGTAACACTATTCCTACCCGCTGGACATACACAAAGTGCGCTGCAAGCCTGCAAAAATTCACATTTCGAAAGTATGGAGAAAATTTCAACTCTCGAAAGTAAGGAGAAAATTTCACAGGCCGAAAGTATGGAGAAAATTTCAGAACAAGAAAGTATGGAGAATAGTGATGGTCTCAAGTCCAATGCAGTGTTTGACAAACTTTTTATTCCGGGATCGGACGCGAAACCACGTACGAGCTCGGACGATTCTGCGGATAATGACGGGAACTTTGAAAGTGCGGAGATCTCGCCTTTAAATGACACCATTGTGAATTTTGCGGAATTTAACGAAAACAAAGACGCTTCAAATAACCTCGGTAGCGCGAATAAATCATTCGATAGTCTTATACTAGAAAGTGCCGAAAACGCGGAGAAAACGATACACGAAATGATTCAAAAAAGTATGGGGAAAATGAAAAAAGTTTGGAGAATTTCGTTAAAAGTTCGGAGAACGATGAAAATAACCTACAGAAGGATCACGCTCGGGGCATCGGCCAAAGTTAAGGATTCTGGCAGTCACGTGACTTGGCATTGCTATGGTTTTGTATGCAGATTCGAATTTTGGGATTTCTGAATTTTCTCCATACTTTTCATTTGCTCAAAAGTTGAAGAATTTTTTATTGTGTCGGGGATGTCTGTGTTTATAGATGTCCAAATCGGGTGAATCATTTGTGTCAGGGCTGCTGGATTCACTGTGAGATCGCTCAAGTGTCTTTATAAGTTTCTCCATACTTTCATTGTTGGCATCGGCTCTCGGTCCGTCGATACTAAATTGCGATGACTGAGAATCGTTGTTTTCGTCGCAGGTCGAATCGCTCGGAGGCTGCTCCGGCTGTTGGTCCGCTGCGTTCTTGTAGCTTTCGCGACTGTCGGGAGCTTTCTGCATACTTTTTTAGCTGTCAGCCGCGTTCTCCATACTTTCGAATCTCTTATTCTCCATACTTTCTTCGTTCGTTTTCTGCAAAGTTTCATTTTTCTCTGCTGTTTGTGTCCGATTTTGATGGCTGTCTGGAATTGGATTCTGATGTTCTGGGGTGGCTTGACTCTCCGTGGCCGTCTGATTTGGGTTGGTGTCTTTCACAAAATTAGTGAATACTTTCTCCAAACTTTTTTCGGCCAATGAGTCCCTTCTAAATGTGGTATATGACCCCGGGTTAGGAGAGTTAGTTGGATTTCTGGAAGTACTCACTGTTAACTGTAGGTGGTTTTGAGGCGGCGGTGATACGTTCGCGGACACGACGCAAATACAATGTCTCGTACCCGGTTCTGGTTGGCCCGGAGGGTTCCCCATACGCGGGGTTACACTCCGAAATTGTTTTTACATTATACCTGGCACACGATTTTGTTCGGACAAATAATAAAACGGGAAAAAATAGTTTGTTTGCAAAGTTCAGAAAGTTAGGTTATGTTACCACGGAAGACACGATATACGTAGATCTGGGTAGCGGTAGCCTAGGTTCAAGGTCCTAGCCCTTATGTGTTTAATATATAACCAATGCTATATTTCTTAAAATCCAGATCCCATTTCGTTACACTCTTAAATAGATCAATTCCAATTCTGCTCTATTGGTTTTCAATGTCATGTTATTTGACTAAATTTGTATTTATATAACAGCAGGGCGCCAAATTAAAAAAAATAGTTTTAAACACAAAATGTAAGCAAATTATAATTTTTTAAATTGTTATACTATTTACCTGCATTTCTGTTACTATATCGGGGAATAAATCACAGAAACTCTTATCTTTTAAATTATATTCCAATGATTGATAAGCAAATTGTCGCTTATCATAATCTGTCGTTTCTATACTTCCCAATGTTGGACTTTTTTCGAGCTACAAGAAAAGTCAGAATGATTTACATACAGTGTTTTCCATAAAGTTGGATACATATGGGAACTTCTTTCAATATTACTTTTTTTTTAAACTTAGTTGGCTAGGTACTGAATTAGTTATCAGCTAGCCAAATTCGGTATTTTTTTGTAAAAGCGTTTCTTTTAAATGCGTTTCACAAAAAAATTAATGTCAGTAACTGCCCTACGACTTTTTTTCCAATAGTAATATTAAAACAAAATCCTACATGGGTCCAACTTTATGGCATACACTGTATCATATAAGTAATACTATATAAACAATTAATGCATTATATTTATCTTAAAAACAAAATTCTTCTGGGTTTCCAATTAAAAAAGCAGAATAGTTGTGTATTTTTGGATATATTAAAATTTAATAAATGTAAAAATGTGGATTTTACTGGAATATTTTTTTACTTATTACTTACTTACCATAAAACTTAATAATCCTGTTAAAATCGTGGATACACTCCAGGCAGGGTTCCACGTGTCAGGATGGAAGTCAGATATACTTAAACAAAGTTTTTTATTTGTTTTAAAACGCCCGTTAGGAGTTATCATGTATATTGATGGAGGTTTGAAGGGAAACTCTCTAGGAAAAACGAGTTTTCCATGATAATAACCTCCTTCATAGGGTGAATTTTCTGGCCCGCAAACGACATAATGCCTGCAAGAATTGTAAAATTTTGTAACTGGTTTGTTTTTAGTTCTTGTGGATTTTAGTTTATTAACAAATAGGCCCTAAAATAGTCCGGATGTTATCAGTGTAGAGCTATTAAACAGTCAGGTGTCTACAGAAATGAAAATATCTACCTATACCCAAAAAAACAAATACAAATAAAGCTCAGGATTTAAGACCAGTTAATTGCTAAAGTGCAGAAAAAAGCCATACTTATATAAGCAAAATTTGAAAATAATAAGATGTTTGTGAGTAGGTATCAATCAGGACTTTACAATGTGTTTTAAGCAATTGAAAGAATATTGAAAATGACCTGTTTACAGTTGCAATATTTTTAGATCTAAGCTAACAAAGAAAATTAAAAGCATAAGTATTGATGAGACAGCTCTTAGTTGGTTAATAGAATACTTAAACAGGCAACAAAAGGTAAAAAAAATCAGCAGGTTATTTAATGTTCCGCAGGGTAGTGTTTTGGGGCCTTTACTTTTTATAAAATCTCCATATGCTGTACTATTTCTTTTAATTACTTTATATACTGTATAACATGTAAATAGAATTAGTTGTTTCATTAAAATATCAATATAAATCAGGATGAAAGACTACCATAGATTAAAGATATTTTATCCTTCATTTTTGTTGACAATTTACCCTTAAATTAAGTTTTATTTAATTTTTAAATGAGCTTAATATGAGCAAAAGGTGAATTAATAAGACATTAGACCATAGGAGATAATATATTTTGATTGTAATGGTTATTTGTGTACTTAAGATCTGTCTGTTAAAACTCAGCAAAAGCAGAGGGATAAACCATGTGAAAAACATTGTATTCCATAATTCCACTTCCTTAATAATTCCACTACAACTAAGGATTTCCACATAGATGGAATTCAATATGTAAAAAAATATAAAACTAGTATATAAGTATTCAGAAATTTAATGTACAAGGCAGCGAATTTTGTATTCTACTTATATCTTACTATTCCATAAGATTTTCTGCATATGCTGACTTTGTAAACATTCACATTCATAATCTATATAGGATATATACGAATTAAAAAAAAATGATTGTAATTAATCAAATTGGGAAAAAATAAAACACAAAATAAACAACAATATATTTAAGGATACAAAAACAATAAAATAAAAATCAAGCACAGTGAAACAGAATTAAATATATAAAAAAATAATTCAAATTTTATCTAAATATTGTTCTATATTTCTTTTAAATATTTTATACTTTTTTTTATATCTTTCTCATCAAATCTAATTATTTTGAATAGATGTTCCAAGCAAGTGGTTGTCATTTCAATTTACTCCAAGATTTTACATTTTTGAGTAAAAAAACCTTTTCTTCAAATAGAATGAATGTTTTTCTAGTATTACTAAGATATTTTGTAATTCTTTTGGCATCTCTGCTTTTAAAACATTTTCAGCTTTATCTAACTCAGCATTTTGTTGAGATATGAAGGTACCTTTAGATTCACATTTATTCAAAAATAAAATTTAGCAGCACCGATCAATAGAATTTCACAGACTGCCAGTGGAATTATAAGGACTTTCAGAGAATTCCACTGGAATCTCACAAATTTGTACACTATAAATCCAAGGAAGTTTACCCCTTGGACCAAGCTCCACAATAAGGGGAATTAGGCAAAGAAAACTCAGTCATTAATAAAGCTAAACCAAAAACAGCACCCACATTAATAATTCTGCCACTAACAAAGGTATTTTTAAGATTAACAGAGGATTTAATATTTATTAGTGATGTGTCAAGTTATTACCAATAAATGTAGCTATTGTAAATGATGATAGAGACAAAATGTACTCACCATTCGAGTATATTTGTTGGAAGAGGCTCTGCTGTGATATACGGAACAGGATCTCTTTTTAGCCTAAGATAGTCTTGTTTCAACCTAGATGTAGCACTATTAGGTTTCCTCGACATTTCCAATTAGAACTTTGAAATGTACCTTAAAATACTTTACTTTAGTGTCGTACTATTTACAATAAGCAAAAGTAACATACCTACCTTGAGAAAATTAATAAGAAGTCATAATTTTAGGAAGATAATGGATTCTTAATGTGTATGTTTTTCTTTATTAATAACCTACTAGTAAACTTTAGGTTTTAAGCACGCATTTGTGTGTTAACAATGAATTATGGTTATTTTTTACTAAAAATTACCAAACCAAAATATCAATTTATAAAATGATAAATGATGAATGACAATTTGACATGACGTATGTCACATATGACAAGACATTTGACATGGACAGAACCATTGATGTAGCAACCTGAGGATAGGTAATTTGTGACTAAAAATTACCAAACCAAATGCCGCGTTTGAAAATCCACATCCGTTGCATTTTTTATCCACATCGGACACATCTACATCTGCGTTTGTTTATCCCAGATGTACCTATTCAGATTACATTTTTTACATCTCGATTTGAAATGAGATGTTCGTTCCGTGCCAGAAAGTAAGTGTTCTGTGAAGCCAAGTTTGTCAATTTATCCTTTGGGATAAACAAACGCAGATGTAGTAGATGTGGATAAAAAAAACGCTCGAGATGTAAAAAATGCATCGGCTGTGGATTTTCAAACGCGGCAGTAAATGTAATGGAACAGATGTGGATAAACAAACGCTCGAGATGTAAAAAATGCATCGGATGTGGATTTTCAAACGCGGCATATGAATGACAATTTGACATGTATGTCACATATGACATGGACAGAACCATTGATGTAGCAACCTGAGGATAGGTAATTTTTGAGCGTATCTTTCGCACTTACTAAAATGCCGGAAAAGCAAGTCCGGATTTACATATTTTTACTTCTATTTCTGGTTCAGTAAATATGATTTAAATTTGAAAAAATTGACTTTTTGTATTAAAGTAAAAGTTATAAGCATGTTTGAACCAAAATCATATTGTTTTTTCATAACCGGCATTTTTATAGTTCTTCGTGGATAAATACAATTTAATCTACTCACATTATAAGATATACTGCTTAGGGCCGATTCCACCGTTGTGTTAATTTACTAAGCGAAGATTAAAATGACATTTTTAATTGATTTTCAAAAATTATACATATAATTAAACAAAAGGTAGAAATGTAAAGATTATTTAGATTTTTCAGAAAGGTAGAAATGTAAAGATTATTCAGATTTTTCAGAAGTGAAAAGATCGGCCCTAAAACTTGGGATTAGGAAAGGGTGAATAATAATAAAACACATACATGTATAAAATACTTGTTAGATTCAACGTAACAAAAAAAACTTACACAATATAAACGCAAAAAAATAAATTGATGTTACCCGAATTAAGTATTCTTTTATTTTCCGATAATTGGATTATATACACCACTTTTTTTCCTGCTAGTTTGAAAAACGTACAGTCCAAAAATCAGGTCCATATATAAACCGTATTCGGCTAAGATGCTTGGCTGGGTATGGTCTTGAAGGAATATCGAAGTTCGAGTGTATAACTGCTCTAGACAAGACAATGTTGACACCTAAAATATCTTGTGAATCCCTGAAATCTGTGAGCCTCGGCCATCAACATCAATAAAATGGGCTTACAATAATATGAAACTAAAAGATGTAAGACAAAAGGTCGAATGCTGAAGTGCCATGATATTAAAGAAGATGACCGTAAAGTAATATTTAACCACTTTTGGACAAAGCTGACTTAGGGAGAGAAAAATGTTTGTGACACTGTTATGTTATGTGCAGCAAAGACAGTTAGGGATAGAAAAGAAGAAACCAAGTCAAAGAGGACTCACTCTCTTCAATATTATTTAAAAGTAAACGATGGTAGTATTGGAGTTTGTAAAACACTGTATTTAAATAAGTTAAATATAGACCAGTGGACAACTTCATTGCGCAATGGGAAAGAACCAGAGATATAACCATTCATTGATAAAATATTAAAAGATTAATTCGACAATCAATACGCTCCATTTGTAGGTCCGCGACGAGGAAACGAAAGGTGAGAAGTAAGAGAGGGGATAAAGAGAAGGATTTTACGCAGATACAACTTTATTTAATCAATGAATAAATGTGTAAGCGATGTGCGTTTATAATAAACAACGTAGATATCCATGTCGGTCTAAGCCCTGTTGCCACTTCCAACTTAACATTACTAAATTTTGAAATTTAGTGAAATTACATCTACAGGATGGAAAAATAATTGAAAATTACAGATACCGACCATTTACCTCTAAAAGAGCTGTGATATTGGCCGTTCTTGACAAGAGTCGCGAGTGAGAAGTTTAGAAACGGCAAAAACTAATGCACCAGTCGAGTGTTATCACCCAAGTCTGTTCGACCTCTACCAAAAATTGTTAGACCCAAAACTGCGTCAAAAAAGCCTAAAGCTAATCAAGGAAATCAAGAATTTACACTGAAACAAGAAAACAAAGCAAAAAATTAAGACTGAAAAAGAAAAGGGAGTTTTGAAGAGACCCTGCACAAATACTGATTCAGTCAAAAAGAAGCTCTAGTAAGGATCAGATTATGACCATGATAGTGATACAGATGAAAATCTAAGTTTCGGGTAACTACAAGAGGAGGACAAAATAGTATTGGGTAACTTTATTCTAGTGAAATTTTCGTTAAAAACTACCATAATACGCTATATATTGATATCAATGTAACTGTCAAAATAATTGTCGAAAGTTGCTTAGAGGTACTAAAGAAACCATTTAAATTAAATATTTTCGTTTTTTTAAATATGTATTTACGTTTAGATGAGAATGTAACCTCATTTTTTTCAAACACCGTTCTATTATTTAACTTTTTTGTTGGTAAATATTGTTTTAAATAATTTTTAAATATTGTCCCCTATATGAGATAAACTATATGATTTATTCTAAATTTTGTAATATTTATATTTAAATAATTTTTTTATTTGTATTTGACAGATTTAAAAGAAATTTAAAAAGCAATGTACCTTTATTATGCCAAGGTCTTCAATTACACTGTTCGTTAGCTCAAGCCGCCCATTCTACTAGGTTTATGTAAAAATCAACACAGTAAGTTAACCAACTGGCGAATTGGCACTGTTCGTACATCTAGGATAGAATCGGGCTAAATAAAATATATTTTGACTGTAAATGAATTGTGGCGACATTACGTTCACTACATAAACTTACCTGTAGGTTTGATTTTCATGTTATTTTTAGTTTAAGGTCGATTTTATTGAGGTTAGCCAAGTGTTAGTGTCAGGAAACCGATGTCATAATAACGCTAATAACGTCACGATTTAAGCGCAGATCTTTGTAACCGAGTATTAATCGGAGATAATTTGTAAGTTACTTTCTTAATTAAAAGTGGACTGTAAAAAATTTGGAACCATATGGAAAACTTTTTTATTATTGATTTCGTGAAAAAATTTATTCTTGATAAAAAGTTCTGCATAGTCTAAAACCTAAAATGCAACCATCAGATATCATTTTTTTAAAGCCGTATACGAGGTGTGTCAAAAATAAAGGTACAAAAATCATATTTTTTGACAAACCTCGTATACGGTTAAAAAAAATTGATATCTAATTGTTGCATTTATAAGTTTAGGACCATGCAGAACTTTTTATAAAGAATACATTTTTTTATGAAACCAATAATAAAAAAGTTGTCAATATAGTTCCAACTTTAGCCCAGACATATTGTAAATGCAAACTTCCATTTTCTTCCAAAAACGCGCTCAGCCAAGCATGTTTATAAATATGTAAGTAGTTCCAAACCTGCAGGAAAAATCTTACATGCAAATGAACCTATTATAGGTGTGAACTAACTTTTAAATATACAGATCTCTATTTAACCAGTTCTTTAATTTCCATTTCCAATCTTCTCAATTTCGTCTGAATCGTCCGTATCCAGGAGGTGAATTTTTCGATCGAAATGCTGCTCTATTGCTTTACAAACGCCCATGGATTTTTCCGAGTCGACCAAATTAATAGCGATTCCACTTTTGCCAAATCTTCCGGTTCTACCAATCCTATGGAGATAAGTTTCACAATCCGCTTTGCCGTTCATGTCGATCGGTAGATCGAAATTAACAACTATTGTGACCTGTTCGACATCAATACCACGCGATAAAACGTTTGTTGTTATAAGTACTTTCTCTTTGCCTTCTCTAAATCTGTCTAAGACGCTTATTCGTTGTTCTACTGTTAAATCACCGGAAAGTACTGCTACTGCATGACCGTCTTTGGACATTTTTTCAGAGAGCCAAGCTGCAGTTCTTCTTGTGTGACAGAATATTATAGCCTGTCCTATACCTACTGTACCGTATATATTTGTAATGGCAGTGTATTTCTCGTCTGGATTGTTACATCTAAAAATAAAAAACTTTGAATAGCCAAAATGTTCCCGCAAAAAATAATTGGTTTTATATTTATGAATTTAACTAGCTTTTGCCCGCGGCTTTGCATGCGTGGTGTCGTGTTTATAATTAAAAAATATTAATTTTTATTAATTTTTAATAAATTTTATTAATTTTTAATAAATTTTATTAATTTTTAATAATCTTTAATAATTTTTAATAACTTTTAATAATTTTTAATAATTTTTAATAATTTGTAATAATTTGTAATAATTTGTAATAATTTGTAATAATTTGTAATAATTTGTAATAATTTGTAATAATTTGTAATAATTTTTATTAATTTTTATTAATTTTTAATAATTTTTAATAATTTTTAATAATTTTTAATAATTTTTAATAAATTTTAATAATTCTTAATAATTTTTAATAATTTTTAATAATTCTTAATAATTCTTAATAATTTTTAATAATTTTTAATAATTTTTAATAATTTTTAATAATTTTTAATAATTTTTAATAATTTTTAATAATTTTTAATAATTTTTAATAATTTTTAATAATTTTTAATAATTTTTAATAATTTTTAATAATTTTTAATAATTTTTAATAATTTTTAATAATTTTTAATAATTTTTAATAATTTTTAATAATTTTTAATAATTTTTAATAATTTTTAATAATTTTTAATAATTTTTAATAATTTTTAATAATTTTTAATAATTTTTAATAATTTTTAATAATTTTTAATAATTTTTAATAATTTTTAATAATTTTTAATAATTTTTAATAATTTTTAATAATTTTTAATAATTTTTAATAATTTTTAATAATTTTTAATAATTTTTAATAATTTTTAATAATTTTTAATAATTTTTAATAATTTTTAATAATTTTTAATAATTTTTAATAATTTTTAATAATTTTTAATAATTTTTAATAATTTTTAATAATTTTTAATAATTTTTAATAATTTTTAATAATTTTTAATAATTTTTAAAATTTTTAATAAATTTTTTTTCGATTTTTTTTTTCGATTTTTCGATTTTTTTTTGATCCTTCGATTTTTTTTTCGATTTTCCATTTTTTTTTTCGACTTTTCGTTTTTATCAATTTTTCGATTTTTCGATTTTTTTTCAATTTTTTTTTTTCAATTTTTCGATTTTTTTTCGATTTTTCGATTTTTTTTTTGATTTTTCGATTATTTCGATTTTTTGATTTTTTTAGATTATTCGATATTTTTTTCAATTTTTTCGATTTTTCGATTTTTTTCGAATTTCGATTTTTTTTCGACTTTTTCGATTTTTTTTTCAATTTTTTTTCGATTTTTCGATTTTTTTTCGATTCTTCGCTTTTTTTTCGATTTTTCGATTTTTCGATTTTTCGATTTTTTTTTATTTTTCGGTTTTTCGATTTTTTCGACTTTTCGATTTTTTTCGACTTTTCGATTTTTTCGATTTTTTTTTTTCGATTTTTCGATTTTTTTTTCAATTTTTTTTCGATTTTTCGATTTTTTTTCGATTCTTCGCTTTTTTTTTCGATTTTTCGATTTTTTTTATTCTTCGATTTTTTTTTATTTTTCGATTCTTCGATTTTTTTTTCGATTTTTTTTTTCGATTTTTGGTTTTTATCAATTTTTCGATTTTTCAATTTTTTTTTCGATTTTTCGATTTTTTTTTTTAATTTTTCGATTTTTTTTTATTTGTAGATTATTCGATTTTTTTGGATTTTTCGTTTTTTTTTTTTATTTTTCGATTTTTTGATTTTTTTTTTATTTTTAGATTTTTCGATTCTTAGATTTTTTTTTCGATTTTTAGATTTTTCGATTCTTCGATTTTTTTTTCGATTTTTGGTTTTTATCAATTTTTCGATTTGTCGATTTTTCGTTTTTTTTTTTTTTTCGATTTTTCGATTTTTTTTAGATTTTTCGATTTTTTAATTTTTTTTTTTCGATTTTTCGATTTTTGCTTTTTTTTCGATTTTTCGATTTTTCCATTTTTTTTATTTTTCGATTTTTCGATTTTTTTTTTATTTTTAGATTTTTCGATTCTTAGATTTTTTTTTTCGATTTTTAGATTTTTCGATTCTTCGATTTTTTTTTTCGATTTTTGGTTTTTATCAATTTTTCGATTTGTCGATTTTTCGTTTTTTTTTTCGATTTTTCAATTTTTTTTTCGATTTTTCGATTTTTTTTTTATTTTTCGATTTTTTTTTTATTTTTCGATTTTTTTTTCAATTTTTCGATTTTTTTTTATTTTTAGATTATTCGATTTTTTTGGATTTTTCGTTTTTTTTTTTTCGATTTTTCGATTTTTTTTCGATTTTTCGATTTTTTTTTTATTTTTCGATTTTTTTTTTTATTTTTCGATTTTTTTTTCAATTTTTCGATTTTTTTTTATTTTTAGATTATTCGATTTTTTTGGATTTTTCGTTTTTTTTTTTTTTCGATTTTTCGATTTTTTTTCGATTTTTCGATTTTTTTTTCGATTTTTTTTTTATTTTTTTGATTTTTTTTTTATTTTTTTGATTTTTTTTTCGATTTTTCGATTTTTTTTCGATTTTTCGATTTTTTTCGACTTTTCGATTTTTTTTAGATTTTTTTTCGATTTTTCGATTACCTTTAAAGAATATTTTCATATCAGTTTAGACATACGTGCTGTCGTGACGTCATACCGTGACTAATGGATCATTATTCACTAATGAATAATAGGTATTATTATTCTTAAGTACAAGTATAATGAATGATTTATAGAACAGTCGTGGACAAACATATTTTTTAATAATATATCGAATATAAATTTAAAAACGCTCGTATAAAAAAATTGTATTTATTCCAACCCTGTTTCAACTTTTACAGTAATACAAATTATAGCGCCATCTGTGAAATTACTTCTTACTGTAAAATCGAAAAAAAATATCGAAAAATCGAAAAAAAAATCAAAAAATCGAAAAAATCGAGAAATCGAAAAAAAATCGAAAAGAAAAAAAAAACGAAAAATCGAAAAAAATCGAAAAAATAAAAAAAAAAACGAAAAATCAAAAAAAAAATCGAAAAATCGATAGAAATGAAAAATCGAAAAGTCAAAAAAACAACAGTTAGTTACCTATATTTAATAAAAACTTTCCATTCTACACTTAACTTTTATTTAATAAAGAAACCATAATGGTCGTGGACAAAGTATAGTATTAGACTCGCAATTTATGGCCATTATTCACTTACTGCACAGATTCCTACGAACTGTGGTTAGGGCAGACCCCACAATTGATCTGCATCGTCCCTAGCCGATTAGGTCAATTAATAATTAGCTCTTCTTTCAAACCAAGTTTTCAGGAAATCCAAACATTATTTTGAAGTGCGATTTGTTTCATTTATTTGATACGTTAGTAGTACGGGTGGTAACGAAAAGAAAACGTCTAAATAAGTTTAGTTTTAAATGAAATACGTCGACAAGTCGAGGGTTTCTATGCGGTTTAGATACCGAGGATTAAAGTCATTTTTCGAGTATTTTTAAAAAACTTGCTAAACTAACCTTACATAGTACTGCCTAATATTATCCAAACTTTCTTCTTCTCGCTTCAATCTAATTATAATAGGATTTTTTACAATAAGTTCGGCGAAATCCATGACTTGTTGGTCATATGTAGCTGAAAAGAACATCATTTGACAAGTGGCTGCATTCAAATTCTTGTGAATTCTAATGCACTGGTCTTGATGTCCCTGCATAGAGATCATTACATCGGCTTCGTCCAACACAAACGCACAAAGCTTTTTGAGATCGAAAACTCTAAATTTGACCGCCCAATCGAGAACCTTTCCAGGTGTCCCTATTATGATGTGTTCTGTCAGATGTGTATTTCTCGGTACTACTTCCCCGCTAACTGCGTACTTCATTTCGATTTCGGGACAGAACTTTGCCATATGGGCTGCAACCTTAAACAAATATAAATGTTTCTGTTGCGTATTCTGTATGCCTATTTTTATTTTAAAATTTGCGAAATTACGTTAGAATTTAATTTAGGGTACAAAAATCCAAAATAAAGAACTTAAAATATTCTAGTTGTACATATATTTCAAGATATTTTAAAATTGTTTAGAATTCCTCAAAAAAATATGATTTTAAAAATGTACATATTTACCTTTCAGTTTTATATTATTTCAAAAAAATCGTGCGTAATCTAATAATTTTATTCAATGTGGTCATAAATTATGCCCCTTCTTCTAAACTAAATCGTGGTCAAAAACCTCTGAAATAAGGTATTACGAAACTGCATCCCAAAAAAGTGTTTGCTACCTAATTCGAAAAAGGTCACAACGAAATTGCATCCCCATAATTTAAAATTGAGCCATTGTTGCCACCTTCTGCGTTGTTTATTAAAAATTCTACAAAAATTCTCTTTATATTCAGTCAGTAACATTTTTTTTAGTCAGTCAGGTTTTAAGAATATCGATTCTTTTTAGTAACTTCTGTTATTTTATTAATTAATCTAGGTATTTTGTAAATTGATTAATGGGCAACTACATGTTAGCAAGTAAACAAATTTTTGTTTGATTACTCATTGTAATATAATGTAAAGAACATTAGCAGTCAAGAGCGAGGATGCAGGGAACTGAAGACGGTACAACGAAATGGGTCGCCTTGAGTGCTATAGTGAAATTAAGCTGTTAATTGCTACTATACATATTTAAATGTTTATTAAAACTAAATATAATGAAATTTATACGAAATTATTTAAATAAAATCTAATTTATTCATTTTATATGTTGATTTAAATCACTCAGCAAGTCTTTGAGAAATCTTCTTCCCTTTAAACTTAGAGTATCAAGTTTTTTTGGGATTAGAACACTATTAATATTTATATATGCGTCAATTTGAAATTGAGTTATCGCATTTATAAAAACATTCTCATTAGGATGAGCGACGTAAAAAGAAGTATTATATTTCGAATGAAAAGACTCACAATAATTGGTGTTTCTCTGCAAAGAAGAAGATATAAATAGTGGAAAAGATGAGTCTTCTGCAATATAATCACAAAACTGCTTAACTTTTTCATTAACAGGCCTAATTTGTATTAAATCAGTTGCGAAGATGTCGCCTATAGCTTCAGGATAAAGATAACTAATCCTAATTCCTGAATTTTTGGTACCATGACTGCCCTAAGTGAAAGCGACAACCTCGTAGATTTGCTTCTGGGAACGTCTTGTAGATGCTTTTATGAATAGCAATATCAAAATCTGCTGTTATCATTTTTGGCGAAACAATGTGGTTAAGTTTGACACACTTCTCTATTATATACTTAAAAATAAGATTGTATGATAAGAATGTTTTATTAGGAAGGAGACGAAAAATTATCATATTTAAGACCATGAATTGTAAACAACTGAGTAAAAAAACGGGGACAATATTCAAATGTACCATCAACATACCGACAAGAAATAGATGACAGAAATTTAAGATTTGATAAACACGAAAATATGACAATATTATTTTCTTTGTCATTTTTAAGGAAGAAGTTTTCTTTCTAATTGATTGGTTAAAAAAGAAGACGATTCAATTTCCATATGAAATTCAGATTTTTAAAAAGAAGAGAAGATCTAGCATTGTATATACTTTGCTTCAATCTGGCATTACAGGTGTATACAGGTCTCCTCGAACCTCTACAAAAGCATTTATAAGGGATTTAGAAAATTTCATACCAAATCATCTAAATAGAAATATTGAAATATTCATAAGGGACATTAATATTGATCTCCTAAATGTAACCAATCAAGTAACTACTGATTACCAAGCAACTTTTTACTCCCATGGTTCCATGTCTTACATAAACACTATTACGAGGCCACAAAGTAAAACATATTGTTAAAAAACAATATTAAGACTGAAAAATCTATCGGTGAACTCTTATGTAATCAGCTATGATATGACTGATCATCCTATTATGATAAATATCTCACAATCTGCCAAAAACTACACAAGTTCCTACAATATATATATAACACTATAACTAAAATCGATACTGATAAATTCGAAACTGTAAACTGGGAAAGTGTTTGCAATGAAAATAATCCAGAAATTGCAATACAACTTTTTTAAGAAACATGTCAAACCACTCAAAATATTAAAATTAAAATCCATAAAAAAATTAAGCCATGGATAACAAATGGTTTAATTAAATTAATTCTATTAAAACTAGGGATAAACTTTAAAAAGATCTACAAAAAAACTATACTATTACCAAACACACTCACTATAAAATATTTAGTAATAATTTAAACAAACTAATATCAAAAACTAAAAATGACTATTATAACAATAAAATAAACCAAAACAAAAATAATCTGAAAAAATCTCATCTCATCCATTTGTAGATCATTTATGTAGTAAAGGACAGACAAACAGTTGTTCAGCCTCTGACGTCACGGTTCAGTCTTCAGTCCGACCAGAAAATCAAGGTCTGATCGACTGAGGCCCTGCCGATCAGCTCAACCGCTTAGTCCTCCGTCCGACTAGAATTCGTAAGTATCTACATCCGCAGGGTTGTCAGATTGGGCGATTTATCGCAGATTGGGCTACTATTGAAACAATTTTACGATCGATTTTCCGATCAGTCGCAGATTGAGTTATTTTCATATTTCGTTTGATAAAAATTGGCGATAATTTAAACCCTACTCAACTTTTTTCTTAGGTTAGAAAACTATTTTACAATGAAGTAATATAAGACGTCACTTTAAATTTAAATCTCATAATGTCAACAAATACGTAAGACGATGAGTTAAATAAAACGTATGTCCCAAATTAGCACTGTTTCAAATTTTTAAATCTTTTCTGAAATAATTAGGACAAAAATAAAAGAGCGTATTTTGCGTTTTAACTTTTAAATACTATAAAAAAAATAGTTAAAAGTCAATAACTTTTAAATATTTGTTAAATATCACTTATTAAAATATTATACATTAAAAGTAAAACAAACTATAGACTTTCCACCATTCTTTACCGTACTCTGGAGCCATTTTTAAAAACAATTTCAGCTTATATTAATAAGTTTGTATCCTGGAGCAAAAACCGGACAACCATATGTCAGTATTGACTAAATACTGTCTTGTATAGTAAAATTTTATTAGACAGAGTGACTCTGCTCCGTCTATTCATAAGGGGGTAGAGGTTCCTTGAAATACCGTAGTTTTTAGTCAATAATGTGTTGACGTAACGTTTATCCCATATCCAGCTGAAATCCTAAGTATTTTAGAGAAATCTTGGCTACTATTGGGTGATTTTGCACTCGAAGGGGCGATAGTATTCTCTTGGCATTTTTAAAATCACACCCCATAGATAATCCGCTTATACTTGGAATTAAAGCTAATTAAAAGTCCATTTGGTAATTTAAGTTAGTTTTATCCAAACAACCTCATCACAAACCAACAATTATTACTGGAATACCCAAATATATAAAAATATATCTTTCAATAATTCTGTTTTCTAACATTTTGCTGGTAAGGGTTCAACAAAGTACCTTTTATGTAAGTTTCTATTACTGTGTAGGTAGGTACATACTTTCAAAAATTACATTTGACAACACTGGTTAAATTTTCGTAGAATTTTAGTAATAATAAAATTTGCACCGCAGATGCAGTTTCGTTGTTAACAATTTTACCTGATCGATTTGGGATGCATGATCGATTACAAGACCTTACTTGCCATTTAGACTAAGGGTGGTTACTATTGTTGTTATAGTTAAAATGTCATTGTTTGATTTTAATTTAACCTGAATTTTGTTTAGCATTTAGAAGAAACGACACAACTTATGATCCCACTGTTAAGTTAGAAAAGTTTGCAGCTGGTTGCAAGAAGAAAGCCAGCTGAAGATATGCTAAACCATTACCTCTCCAGTTTGTATTGCTAATTCATATGTGGGTGAGAGGCACAAAACTTGAGGGTACTTTTTGGTGACGTCTACCCTAGATAACATTGCCAGTACAAACGCTGCTGTTTTGCCAGTTCCTGACTGAGATTGTGCAATTAAATTCTGCGGAGGATCCGCCAATAATGCAGGAAGGGCGGTTTCTTGTATTTTAGAGGGCGCGTTAAATCCCATTTCATAAACACCTGTAAATTAATACACAACCAAAATCACAAGATACTTTTTATACTAATATTTATTAATATAATTTTTTTCAGGTAATCCTAGTTGTGGCACTTTATATGGAAAAGCTAATTTGAATTCATAGTACATAACTGAATTGAAAATGAGCTAAAATAATTTTAAAAATACTGCAGACCCATACCATTAGGTAAGGGGCCTAAATATTATTATACAGAGTTTTTTTGAGTAATAATAGTAAAAAATAACAAAACCTTAAGTGGTAGGAATAAAATTAGTAAAAATTGAAATTAGTAGCATGTAAATTAGGCGCATTTCCAAGAAAATGTATACAGGGTGTTTCATAATATATGCACATGTATTTCAACATTAAAATTTGATTTTTCTCGAAAACGGTCGACTTTAGAGCGTATGACCAAGAGTACCTTTTTTGTGAAGAAAACATTGGCGGTTCAAATGGGCGTCTCAAAACCGTACTTTTTCCAGTGGCGTAGAATTTTTTTTTTTTCAATTTCAACACCCTGTATCTCGAAAATGGTGCATTTTAGAGGGTAAGTTAATAGAAACGTTTTTTCATATTTTTGGACGAGCTATCACGTCCTGAAGTCCTGCGCATATATTATGAAACACCCTGTATAATTATTCAATAAAAAAGAAAAAAGTAAGAAAAAAAGAAAACCCATAAATAAATAATAAAAATTATAAAAAAAGCTATAAAAAGTTGCCAAAAATGACTAAAATATTACTAAAAAAAAAAAACTAATAAATTACTAAAAAAAGTAAAAAATTCTAATTTTTTTTTAAAATTATTAAAAATTACTAAAAAATTACAAATAAATGACAAAAATTACTAAAAATGACCAACAAATTACTCTGCAAATGAAGCTATTGATTTTAAAACCAAAAAAAAGTTTATTTTTGTTTTTTTGGTGACAATAATTTTTTTCTAATTTTGACATATAAAATGTAATCGCAAAAAGTATCAAAATGATCTAATTTTTGGTTTTAGAATCAATAATATGCATTAATATTGATACTTTATATCAGAGAAGGGGTGCAACCTGGTGGTAATGTTGTTTTGGTGCTTATTTTCCATTCTAAATCAGAATAGGATAATTAAAGCAATACATAATGGAGTAACCCACTTTTTAAAAATTAAATAACACTACAAGTCATTGAGAAATCAAGTTGCTGAATATAACAGCACAATGGGACCTTTTTTTAATTATTTTTATACATAGGTATACACATTGTTGCATTATTTAATTTTTATCAAATTAAAATGTTCATTCACATTTTGTATGTAACAGGCTGAAAGACTTCAGTGGATAACCAGTTGGTTATTCTAATAAAGCATGTTTATTATTATTAAATTTATTTGTAAAACTTAATTTTCTTCTTTTTTTTACAGACTTTTTAAAATACCTCATTATTCTACCTCAACCCTTTATATCATGTAAATATATACCTAATTATTAGAAAAAATATCATTCAAAAACAAAAATTACCTTTTAGAAGATTTGGATCCAAATTTAATGCTTCAAAACTTTTAATAGAATACAACGGAGATCGGGGATCTTTCCTTTGTACCTCTATGTCATTTTTGTTTTCTACTAAACCTTTACGAATTATTTTAGCCAGTAACGAGGCATCGGCGGGATTCGGTTTATCAGAATCCTCACTTTTTTTCTCTGCTTCATCACTATTTGATATTTCCACACATTCAATCTACAAAATTATAAAAAGAAGCAACATTTTGGCATACTCTTTATATTAAATGTGTTATTTATATATTTATTTAAATGAGATCAATTCCTTTACAAAGCAAAACACATATAAATGATACAGATAATTGTAAATTAAATTAAAAAATACAAGAGAAAAAAGTTAAAATTAAGTCAAATAAGTTTTAGATTAATAAATGCATTTTAAGTATTGTAAATCCCTCCCTAATTTCATTTTTACTCCAGTGTATTCATACAGATTGCCTTAAATTTATTAAAATGCCTGTAACCTCAAGATTCAATTGATTTATTACCCTCAATGTTCTTTTAATAGGTAAATGCATGTCATAGTGTGTATTATAAAATGGAACATATTAGGAATCATTTTTAAGAGTTCTGGGCATATAACTAGACCATTTAATAATCTATAGATAAAATTCAAATCTGATATAAGTCTCCTGTACTTAAATCAGCTCATATTCATTTCATTTAAAATCCTAGTATAATTATGATTGGTTACACAAATATTTAATTTAAAAGCACAGTATCTTAGAAATTTATATTGTATTCTTTCCACTGTTAGACAGTGTATATGATATTGTGGCGACCAAATTATACAAGCATACTCCAACTGAGGTACAACCAATGTTTGATAAACTCTTTTTATGGCTTCTAGAGAAAAATCAAAACAGTTATGCAATATTAACCCTAAGCTTGGGATGATTTTATTGAGATTGAATTTATGTGTTCAATAAATCTTAATTATTCATCTAAATCTTTGACTGAGTTAACAAATGATAGTGGCTTATCATTAATGTAATATTGTGAGTTGCACTTTTTTTCCTTTAAAATAAATAAATTAACAACTTAAGATTATATTTCAGATGCATAGCAATAAATTATTTTGAGAGGCAAACTGCTACACCATAATAAATGCTGAAAACTGAGAGTAGACCACTATCGACTGATATCTCATGCAATGATGTGATGCTGTCTCAATGTGTGTGGCTTTATCTGCCTTAAGACAGCTTTTCATGAGACTTGTGTAGCGCTGCATATGGCGAGGGAAGTATCATCCTGAATAAGCAAGTTAACAATGATGTTTCTAAAGTGGTGCTAGGAAACAGTAACCTGTATGTAGGCATTCAGGAGTATTAGAGTACTATCACTCCTGCTCTATTGAGTATTAGACTACTGTACTCCATAACCTACACAGAACACGAGGCTAATGGCCTAAGTTATCGAAAACAAAGGCACCAATAAAAATCAAATATGTTTATATTAAGTTTTGTAATGTCAACATTAATGATAGGTATACTCTTAAGCCACATATCGCATTCTACAAGTAAAATAAATTCCATGATAGAAGTACTTAAATAAATTCTAGTTTAAAAGTAATAAAGCATGCTACTACCTAGTCCTTCTGGGTAGAAAGGACAATAATAGACAACCTGTTTAATGAAAGACAAAGACTACCGGTTAGATTAAATTTTACCTTTTTTTCTGTTTCAGATACATATTTAGCCCAATCAATTTTTTCGGACATTTTAGGTGTCTGATAGAAAACTTTTTAATTCCTTAATATAACTAAATTTTTTACGATATTTTAAAATCCAAAAGATCAGCAAACCGCAACTGTCACATTAATGTCAAGTGTCAACTGACAGATTAAATAAAAAGAAAGAAAAGAAGAGTAGCAGTGGTGCCACCACCAAAAAATTTTGTTTTCAGTAGACGATCCAAATTTGTTAAGAAATCGGTACAAAAACTTTTTAGTAAAAATTCTTTGGGGTTGTTAAAAAATAAAAAAAAAACAAAGAATAAAACACTTTATTAAAATAGAAAATAACATAAACAACCAAAAGAATTCTGGTATTCCAAAAGAGACTGTCAAGTTTAGATATGACAACCCTGTGGGTCGCATTAACAGAGTAGATACATATAGTTATATAGATTGCTTAAATCAGGCGGTCATATTGCCTCGCAAGTGCGAATTAATCAAAAACGGTTCAGTAAAAATGTGTTTACAAACCAATTTTCAGCCTTTCAATATAGTAAAAAATATTAATTACCTACATTTTTACTTCAAGGTATAAGTTTGTTTATTTTTAAAAACATGGAAGATCAATCTATATAACTATCTATCTCATTGACCCTGTCAAATCAACAGGCCTACAGGGTTGTCATAATTTTGCACTAAACTATATATTAAACTAGAAGAACAAAGCCGATCAAAGCCTAGGGCAATGAAGTGGAGTGGGGTAGAATGGCCCCTGTCTTTTAAAACATTATTTTGTACTTTTTTAATCTATTTGCAGTCATTATTTTCACATTTAAAATAACCCAATGCAATCCATTTACGTACGCTACTGCTGAAGATTTTAATATGAGCGAGGAAGCCTGCATTAGAAAAAGAAACAATGAATTTTATTAGAGCGACATCAATATTGTATAGATTTATACAGGGGTAGCCTATCTGTACATATATTATCTAAGGGCTTACAGGGTTGCCATATCTAAATGTCAGCAGTTTGACAGGTCGTTGGAATGCCTAATTCCCTGTACCCAATGAAATAGCAAGCAAAAAATACGATTTGTCCATTTTTGCCGTCAGACGAGGGATTAATAACGATTAATGATTGAAATGAAGGGAAAAGTTTGCACAGTGAAACATTGTAAGTGAAACTCGTTTTTCCTTTTCGTTGTCTGATTAACATATGGATTATCAACCTATATAAATGTATATCATTGGATTTTGACCACTTCTGATTTGACATCTACATAAAGTAAACATAACCTATATTTTAGGCCTTTTAATAAATTAATATAATTTATTTTGTAATCCAAACCAAAAACTAATCAGTCTATTAAACATTAATAGAAGTATTAACATTGTTTTACATCTGATAACTACATGGTAATATGCTTAGAATTTGGTTGGTACTTGAATAGAAATGTTTAAATATATTTTTTATCAGTTATATTTTCAGTATGGTATCTGATTTTTTCTTCCCTAATATGGGCGGAGTAGAGGAGCACGTATACAATCTATCTCAGTGCCTATTGCTTAGAGGACATAAAGTTATTATAGTGACCCATAGTTATGAAGATCGAATAGGTATAAGATACATGACTGGTGGTCTAAAGGTATATTATTTGCCAATTAAAGTTTTTTACAACCAGTCAATTTTACCAACTATGGTGTGTAATGTCCCTTTAATAAGGTACATATTAATAAGAGAGAGGATAAATATCATTCATGGTCATTCAGCTTTTTCCTCTTTAGGACACGAGACTGTTTTAATAGGAAATCTTCTGGGTAAGAAGGTAAGTGCAATAATTATTAAAATACTAATTACTTAAATTTCTTATGTACCTAATAATAGGGAAGTCCGAATTTTGTAAAAAACATTTCAAGTTCTACCTACCTTGAGAAGATTGAATTGAAAGGGTTCTTGCAGACACAATAGATCTTTTAGGTCACAGTGTACCCTATACATACAATATCTTTATTTACCTGAGAAAATATTACATTTTATGGCTCGTCAAATTACAATTAAAACTAAATTTATATATATATATATATAATAAAATTTACCTAAATATAATAATATAAAATTGAGATTTACAAACATTTACAACATAGTTCACTGAATCACTCAGAGGCCACAGTGATAGCCCAAGCAGCAAAAAAATGCTCAAAAGAGTTATATAAACAACTATATAACAATTTTTTATAAAAATTTTATATTTTAAAAGCATTTTATAGATGCTTATATGGCACTCATAAACACGGAAAAGGCGCAGGTTTATAAAATAAATGTGATTCTTAACAGTTTTATTATGGGGTATAAAAGTAAGTATAAAACATTCTGGAGTATGTTATAAAAATTTTATATAACAATTTTTTTAAAGTTATTATTGGAACTATCAACATACCTATAAAATAAGTTTGTTTCTGAAACTACTATTATATAATAGTTTTATGGATATTATATATTTGTTTTATATTAAAATATTTAGAAAGGACTTATAAATTTGTTGTTTAACAGTCTTATAATTATTTTATAATACACAGAATTGGTTTATTTGCAATATTTAGATTTTATGCACCACAATATAGTTTTACAGTTATGTAAATTAAAATTAAATTGTGGTGACAAAAAACAGATTTTTAAGATGCTCAGAATAAACAAATATATAATGGCAATAGTTTTCATGTAATAAACTATATGCATATTATTTTCACTGTTTATCCAGTAATTTCTTCTGTCACACAAATTTTACTGGCATTATACAGTGAGCATCATAAGTCTTACCCCCCTAACTAACTCATTACTGGGGTCTTGTTAGAAAAATCGCCGAGACAGGTCGATTGTTGATTTCTACAATGTACATTTTTGCATGATTATTTTACCCTTAATTTCATCCCTTACTGGAGGGTAGCAACCCTTTCGAAAAATTTAAATGGCCTGGGGTGGTGAGTGATAGCTCATTTGAAAGGGGGTTTTATTCTTTATTCAACCGTGCAAAAAATTTTGAAATTTGCTTCATTACGTGTTGATTTATTAATGTTTAAAAATAACAAAACCTCACAAAATAGGAAAGCAACTAGACTAACAGTGACCTTCTAATGGCAAAAAGTCTTACTTCACGTCTGAACCAAAACCGAAATGATGCAGGGCCGAATTTTAATTCTAAGGATGAGTGCGCTACGTTAATTTCCGTTATTCTGAAACAACAATTAGTCGAGAATTAATGAAGCAAATTTCAAATTTTTTTTACACGGTTGAATAGAGAATAAAACCCTCTTTCAAATGAGCTATCACTTACCACACCATGTCATTTAAATTTTTCAAAAGGGTTGCTCCCCTCCAGTAAGGGATGAAATTAAGGGCAACCTATTTATACAAAAATGTACATTGTAGAAATCAAAAATCGACGTGTCTCGGCGATTTTCCTAACAAGACTCCAGTAACGAGTTAGATAGGGGGTAAGACTTATGGTGCTCACTGTATATGCCTAATTATGGGAAAATTTTCAGGGGCCCTGAATTTAATTAGTTGTTATTAAAAAAATTACTTTAATAATTTAATTAATGTTTCAAAAATTTACCTTAATTAGTAAATACTGATAATTTTGTGTCTATTGTACAAAGTATTTGCTTATATTCGATATCTGAACAAACTAGGGTAAAAATTTATTAAGGTAACTGCCCCAGTACCGGGACACTTAAGGATTAAAACTATCCTAACACATTTAATACTGGACTAATGGGAAAAACTGTAATCCCATTTTGTAGGTCAAATACACAAATATAAAGGTTTGGGTCATAACTTCTACCCTAGATTTTATCTGAGAAATGTGGCAGCACTTTTGTGTACCTGAAGTGAGACGCCTTTTTTAGCTTTGTTCCAGAAGTAAACACCCTATTTGACCCAGAAGTGGGACGCCTCATCCAGGCAAAGTATTAGGATATTAAAAAGTCACAAAGACATTTAACACTTTAATTGACTAAGAAACCACAATACAAAAAAACTACAAGTATTATAAATTAAAAATTTAAACAAACCGACTTCAAAAACGTGCAGATGCCATCACCACATCTTAACCAAATTTATATAGGACCACCCCTGAGGTAACTTCTTACTAACAAAAAAAGAATCATATAAATCGGACAAGATGGTAAAGCATTATCGCTAAACATACATAAAAAAATGAAGAGTTTGAGGATTTTCTCATGGACCCAATTATTAGATTTTAACTAAATTTATATGGGACCACCCCTGAAGAACCCCCTTTCTAACAAAAAAAGAATTATTGAAATCGGACACCGTGTTAAAGAATAATCGCTGAACATACATACATACATACATAAAAAAAAAAAAAACAAAAAAAAAAAAAAAAAAAATATCGCGACGAATTGATAACCTCCTCCTTTTTTGAAGTCGGTTAAAAATAGAAATGCACACTGAGTATAATTAGTTTTTAAAAAATACAATCTTAGTAATGAAAATCTTACGCTTTCTCATTAACAGGAAGTTTTTTTTTGAAAATGTATGTCAGTTTCCTTTCGACCCAATTCACTTCAGGGGAGTTTAAAATAACTCCCTTTATTTGGCATAGCGGAACAATAAATTAATCATTTTCTCGCACCACAAACTTTTTTTTCATATTGTCCACACTTACAAAACTTTGCACCTTGAGTTCATACTCAAACACCTCGAGGAGTGTGCACAAGTAAACGTACCGCGAAGTATTCCTTTTTCCTCCAAGTACTTCTGCGAGTACAAATTTGCCCACCTCCAAGTTGTCACTGATGGAAGCTGTTTCTTCATCGGTCCCCTCCGACTCGTTCCAGTCATCTGACTCTTCACAGTAGTGCACACTTCTTTCCTCTGTCGATGAAGGCGATGAAAGAATCATTGGAGGATCCTTTTTCTTTAACATCTTTTCTTTATTTTCTTTTTTTCGCTTTTTCGGACTCCAGTGCCTTCTTTTTTTCCTCTTTGCTCTTAACATATGCCATCACTTGTGGTGATGTTGTAACCGCAGGCAATCTTTCTCTTTTTAATCGTTTGGGAGTTACTCCCTACGGGTTCGGCCAAAAGAGGTTTCTTTTAAACGGAGATGGTATATTTGGAGGGGCAGATATTGGTTGTTCCACTGCGCAACTTGGTAATTTTTTCAATGGAGTAGGTTCATGGGTTCCATTTGTAATTTCGGTTGGATCTGAAACTGAAATTAATGGACTAGGTGAAATGGGTCTTACTCCAGACACTTTGGCAGAGGCAGCTGAAGTTGATGGTCTAGGTGAAATAGGCCTTACTTTAGACACTTCAGCATAGGCTGTGGAACTTGATGGTCTAGGTGAAAGAGGCCTTACTTCAGACACTTTTGCAAAGGCAGCTGAAGTTGATGGCCTAGGTGAAATAGGTCTTAATCCAGACACTTTGACAGATACACTTTTCCAGATACACTTTTCCAGATTTTGAAAAGCTCTGTCTTCTTAATGTCACCATTCCATTCTCCAAAACTGCAGTTTTCAAATTCTTCATAAGCCTCAGTACTCATTTCTTGTCGAAGATCCTCCAAAAACACCTTCAATTTTGTTTGTCCAGCTTCCACAGATATATTTTCCGGTGTGAGCTCAATCCCCTTTTTATTTTTACCTCGTTGGGTCCCACGGTAAAAGACCACAAGCTCGGAATCCACTCTGAATTGTTGCACATATATAATATAATTTCATTGCCTACAAAAATGACTTGAATGTTTATTGTCGTATCTCCAATAGTTTAAAAGTTATATCAACTTTTAAGTCAACAAATGGATCAGCTGCTGCAACTTTCATAGTACGTGTATTTTCAAAGTTTAATAAAAAATGGAATAAAATTTTTTCCGTAATTTTAATGCACTAAGTCGTTTTTGGAATTTTTATTTCTTTCAGGAAAAAAATTAACCAAAGTTGGGAATTTGTTTATAACAAATTGTTAACTTAATAAACAATGGAATTATTAATAAAAAAAATATTTTTGCTGTCACTTTGTAGAGGACTGTCAATTAAGATTTAAAAAAAATCGCATTTCTTAACTAATAATTTAGACAATAGATATATATATATATATATATATATATATATATATAAAGGGTGTCCCATCAAGAGCGCCGGATTTAAATTTGCCGCCATTTTGTTAATACGAGTTGCACTGTCAATTTTTTTTGACAGATGTCACCTACAGACCGCGCGATTTAAGAATATGGAGAAGTATTCAAATGAACAACGTTTAATTATTGTAAAAACACATTACAAAAATGGTGAAAGTTTTGCGAAAACAGTTCGCCATTTACGTCAAATTTTCGGTCGTCATGATGCGCCAAATGAATCGACAGTGAGGCGTTTAATTACAAAATTTGAGACCAAATTTACGCTGATGGATCAGAAGACCATTGTACGTCGTCGTCCTTGTCGGTCACTCGAAAATATAGCCGCAGTAAGGGAATCTGTGACCGAGAATCCGGGAACTTCCATTCGGCATCGTGGTCAAGAATTAAACATTTCCAGAGGCACTATGCAACGAATTTTGGTAAAAGATCTGCACTTGCATGCGTACAAGGTTCAATTGGTGCAAGAAATCAAGCCAAGAGACCATGCGCAACGCCGTGGATTTGCTGATTGGGTGTTGGAGCATCATCAAATTAATGCGGATTTTTCGAAGAAAATAATGTTTTCAGATGAGGCACATTTTCAACTCGACGGATATGTAAATAAACAAAACTGTCGGATTTGAGGTGCTGAAAATCCTCGTGTGATACTTGAACAACCAATGCATCCACCACGAGTAACTGTTTGGTGCGCATTTTGGGCTGGCGGAGTGATTGGGCCGTATTTCTTTGAGAATGCGGCTGGAAATGCGCTAACTGTTAATGGTGAGCGATATCGCGAGATGTTAACGGATTTTTTGTGGACCGAATTGGATGAAATTAATGTGGAGGACATGTTTTTTCAACAAGACGGTGCGACCTGCCACACAGCTCGTGAAACAATGGTGTTACTGCAGACTAAGTTTCCAGGCCGTGTCATTTCTCGTTTTGGCAATCACCATTGGCCACCAAGATCATGCGATCTAACGCCGATGGACTTTTTTCTCTGGGGCTATGTGAAGCAAAAGGTGTATGCAAATAAGCCTGAAACAGTGGAACATCTTAAAGAGGAAATACGGCACGTTATTGGTGAAATACAGCCTCATTTATGCGAAAACGTGATTCAAAATTTCACCAAAAGAATAACTCTGTGCCAGAGGTTTCGTGGTGGCCATTTGCCTGATGTTGTATTTCACGTTTAATCGTAACCATTTTTCTTTATGTTAAAATAAAAATGTTGACTTAATTCAAAACATAAATGTGTTTTTCCTTCAAATTAAATCCGGCGCTCTTGTTGGGACACCCTTTATATATATATATATATATATATATATATATATATATATATATATATATATATATATATATATATATATATATATATATATATATATATATAAAATAGTTTTTTTTTAGGGAAAAAAATTTGTTAAATTGTTTGATATCTTGGCCAATTATAATCCGATTTCGGTAAAATTTACACACGTATAAGAGTTCATATTTAAGAGTAAGCTCTGTAAGTGGCATTAAATAAATTTAAATAGTTTGGCCGTTATAGGCAAACAATGAAATTAGGCTTGTGGTACACTTTGCCCTTCCGCCATATGCCCAATTTTGGGATTTCTCTTGCCCCCTTCTGGGAATTAATAGTCACATCCCTTAAGTTCAAAACGAATTTTTGTTTCTTCAAATATCTTAATTTTTACCAAAGTTATGAAGAATTTAGTGTTTGAACATTTAACAAATTCAATTTTTCGACCTTCGCCGCCTCAAAATACTAAACAAATCTCAATCGTCCATACCGCGAGAACGGTGCATCCGATCAAAATTTCTCGTAAACTGCGTTTTAAAAATAATGATTTATTTGCGACATGCGCATGCGCAAAATTGAAAAATTGAGAAAATCCAAAATTTCAGCACTTTCGAAAAACTGCTACATTTTGTTTTGCCTTTTTTCGAAAAGATCACCTCAAAATACATAGAATCCATTTTGTTTCATCTAATTACAATTTAATGTAAGCTCAAAACTGGTAATTTAATTCGATTATAATATAGCACCTTTGTATTTTCTGTTGTACTAGTGGTTTTATCAATATTTTTTTATCTAAACGTAGAGCATTATTTTCATTTTATTTCTATTTGTAATTCTATGTTTTGATTATGTACAATTTTGTTATCATTACTTATTTGTAGGGAGTTAAGCCATAGTTTTTTATTGTCGCAATCAGTGCATAAGAATTTTAGAATCCTAATTTCACAAATTTGCTTGTTTTTTAGACTGTTTTCACAGACCACAGTCTGTTTGGATTTGCAGATGCAAGTGCAGTGATTACCAACAAGTTCATCCAAATTTCTTTAGCTGGATGTAATCATTGTATATGTGTATCACATACTGGCAAAGAAAATACAGTCTTAAGAGCAAAAGTTGAATCATCAAAGGTGTCAGTTATACCAAATGCTGTGGACACTTACTCGTTCACACCTGATCCAAACCAAAGAGTACAAAATAAAAGTAAGTACTTTTATTTTATAATAAGTAATTTTATTACTGAATTATTTTTTATTTTAGTTACAGTAGTTGTCGTTTCAAGATTGGTGTACAGAAAAGGTGTTGATTTGACAGCTCAAATTATAGGAGAACTATGTGATAAATATAAGGAAGTTTGTTTTTTAATTACGGGTGATGGACCTAAAAGATGGTAAGTTAGTTTTATAATATTTACAATAAATTTAAACATTTATGTATATTATTGTGATGTTTGTTTATTTTCAAACAACAGTTTATTTATTAACAATTTATTTAAACACTTTTTTATTTTATAACACAACTATTTCTAATTTATATATATTTCTAATGTCTTTGAATCGTTCACTATTTATATTCACAGTCCAATACTTTATTGTCAGCTGTCTATATATCACTGATTACTATTTATCTTCACTGTTCATATAATACTGACTCTGATGGATCATCGGTATATTTATATACAAATTTCTAAAATTTGGTGGAATCGAGAAGCTTCTCCACCAAACTAGAAATATTTCGAACAGTCCAGAAATATTATCTCGTCCTTTCTCGAACATCATCGAAATCACCTCCGCCATAGTCGTCTTAGGGGGTTTAATTATGTATAATAATCGGACAAGTTGAGCCTTAAAGGCCAAATAAGACAGAGATGAACTTGTAGGATTAGAGCATGACTGAATAATGAAATGGCTCACATAACATTATCTTGTAGGTTACTTGAGGAAATTCGGGAAAGAAAAGGTCTCCAAGATAGAGTGACACTGTTAGGTAGCCTTGAGCATTCTCAAGTTCGCAATGTTTTAGTAAAAGGTGATATTTTTCTGAATACATCTTTAACAGAAGCTTATTGTATGGCCATTGTAGAAGCTGCATCTTGTGGGTAAGTTTTTTATTTATATTCTCTACACACTAAATTAGTGATGATGTAATTTTGGTTCCACTGACATTTATAATGACAGTAGACTTTTTGAGTGCATTTTATTCGTTTTATTTACCTAAATTATACATTTTTTAACTTTTATAAATATATTTCTAAAGTAAGTACATAATGTAATTGTTGTTTGTTGTAATTGTTGTTCAATATATTAATACGCATTTGTTATTACTCTTTGTTTCTTTCTTCCTTGCCTTATTTTCATAGTTTTCTTCTTTATATTCGCATTTAATACTTTGTAATACATTTTTTTCTTCAAATAGAACATTCATTCTGAATTTCCATGTATGGTAATTTTTTGGTTTCTCTGACGCCATTTTCTTTTACTTTTCTTAACGGCTTTTGAATAACTTTTATCACTTGAATTTCTGGGCCCATAACCTGTTGTAATTGTTGTTCAATGTATTAATACGCAGTAGATCACTTATATAACGTTTTTTTAATATAGACAATGAATATGCAAACAGCGTTCTAATTATTATTAATACCAGAGACAACCATTCTTTATCATCTACATCAGAGACACAGGAACAACCTTCTTCATCTCTTTTGACATCTGACATTTGACATTACATTTATCTTAGATCGTCAATAACTAGACTTGAACTTAATATAAAGTAAAAGGAAAGCATTACTTATGAATAAAATGGGTTTATAACGACAACAAATAACACTATATAACTTTCTTCATTACCCTAACTCGCATATATGATTTAATGCCGAAAATTTTACTTGTTAGTTCATATGAAATTAAATGACAGGTTAGGTTTTCTGTTCTTCTTTCACAAAAACAAAACATTAAATTCCAAGATCAACGATGTCATTATATAGAAAGTCTCATAGATGTTCAATCGACGTCCCATTAACGTTTTGGACTCGAATGTTTTGTCAGAACGGATCTAAAATAAGACTTCAAGTGGATGTCCTTCGAAGGACGTCCTAGTGTTCACGAAAGTCTAATGGACGTCCGATTCAGGTCTCTTAGGACGTCTATAGAACGCCTTGTGCTATCTGGGAGACTCATCGGCACAAGGTGAAGTTAGACAAAGAACAGATACACTTGAGAGCGACCCTGTTCTTTGTCTACCTTCACCTCGCGCCGTTGAGTCTCCTAGATAGCACAGGGCTTCCTATAGACGTTCTAATTTGGTCTCTTGTTGGTCCGATACCTAAATCGGACGTCCATTGGACTTCTATGGGACTTTATAATTTCCATTTGCATGGAAATAACAACGGAAGAAATTCACTGAAACCTGAACACTAGGCGAATTGCTGCAGACCAGTATTTGGACCTCGGTATATTGGAAAATTACTTCCATCATGTTTCTAATGATCCTCCAGTTTAGCTAGTTGCTCTCTATCTTTAGCATGGCTAGTTTTTGTACATTGGACGTGCTCCCTCACATCTCTTACATCACGATAAGTGAAGGTGTTCTTTGTTACAAAATAGGAAAGATAATGCGATTAATCTTGAAGTTTCAATGCTGTTCCACGGGCTGGTAACTGATCTTGAAGTTCTGATAATCGACCAAACTTCTTCCGGAACATAAATGTCAGACTTCGAGCGTCGTTAATGCTGGCGAAAGTGCTATGGGCCAGCGAATAGTCTGTAGGAACCGTAAGCAGATCTTGTTCCTCGGTTATAATACTATATCTTGCTTTTCCAGTACCTCCATATGCACCAATAAATTCTTCAAAGACAAGGTCAGGTGTTTCTTGGAGCTGGTTTACTTCTTTTTTGTCCATGGTCACTCATCGTTAAGAGCGTTGGAGAATAACCTTTCTGTCTTTTTGGGTTATGGATCGAGACTGTCACCCTCCTTGAATCATCCTTCCATGGATTTGGTATTGTACATTTTTCTTTGTAGCTGGACCACACATAATCTTCATTGTCTATGTCTTCTTCAGGTCGCGGTCGGCATCCAAACTCTAGGTCCTACTGTAGTGTGATCTCACACTCAAACAGGACTTTTGCTGGTGTTCGAGCTGATTGACGAATTAGCCTGGCGTCAAATAGATCTTGGTTTTCCCCCTTTTGGTATAAAAATGTCACGATATCGTCGACGAAACTTCTTTATTTTCCTTTTTTCTGTTTGATTCAGAGATTGACCAGCAACTGTAATCATTTGTTACTGGTACTGGTACACAGGTTCCGATTGTGGTCTCCTTCTTGATGATAATTGGGTACTGGAATTTCTTTAACCCCTTTCCGATCAGAATTCCTCGACCAACCTCTTCATCGGGGTTCCAAGGTTGCAGCATGGCATGTGTTCCTTCTTCCATGGATGATGATGATGATGATGATGATGATAATTGGGTACTGGAATTTCTTTAGCCCCTTTCCGATCAGAATTCCTCGACCAACCTCTTCATCGCGGTTCCAAGGTTGCAGCATGACAGGTGTTCCTTCTTCCATGGTTTCTTGAAGCCGAGCTGCTATAATGGTTTCACTTGTATCAGGTACCATCGTATCCTCCTGTACAGCTACTGTCACGGTACTGTCCCCATATGGACGAAGGGATACCTCGACAGCACCAACTTTGATCACTCTGTTTTTAAAATCTTTTTCGATATTAGCAACAATGACAATATGAATGAACTGTTCTATACAAATTCCTAATTGAACCTGGATTTTCCCATGGATGTTGGCACTTTCACGCCAAAAAGAATCTTTTAAGTAAAATATTGTTTTTTTTTTATAGACTAAAAGTTGTTTCTACAAAAGTTGGAGGCATTCCAGAAGTTTTACCAGAACATTTAATATACCTTACTGAACCTACAGTTCCTTCTCTTATGAATGGTAAGAAAAATAATAATTCTGCATAGTGTAGGTATTAATATTATTTCTCAGCGCCATTTTAGGAACAACACTGTTAATTTGGATCCAATAATTTATGGTCGAGTGGACATTCAAATTAAAATAGAAATATTTAGACTATTTGTTTTCATACTCTTTTATTTTTAATTTTGAGTTTTCAGTTAGTAAATTCTATTTAAGTGTCTACAATTTTTTTTTGTTCTAGGCCTAGAAAAAGCAATCAACGATTTAAAAGCAGGCAAAATAATTTGTCCTTACGAATGTAATATGACAGTAAGAAGCTTTTATAATTGGGAAAATATTTCTTCGAGAACTGAGATTGTTTATCGAAAAGTCGTTAACGAAAATGTGAAAACTTTAGGAGAACATTTACACAGGTAATTTTTACACTACAATTATATACAAGGTGTCATTAAAATACATATACATATTAAAAATGAGTGCACTAATTGCGGTATAATATTCTACAATTTAAAAATTGATAAATTTTCTCTTTTTACTTTCCTATCTGTATACAGATATAATAGCCCAATCGGATTAGGTGAAGAACAGGCTTTAGATTCGGAAAAATTCGAAGCAGCAATTTTCCTTCGGAATTCGTTGGAGGGGGTCTCTGGTAGTCTAAATTCAAAAAGTTGGGATTCCAAAGTTGTCGTTACCTCCGCCATCTTGATTTAAAGGGTTATTTTTTGTATCTTGAATAACTCATTTTCAATTTTACACGGAAAATAGTTTTTACAAAAGTTATTTAAAATTAAATTTCCTACAATTCTGCTTTTTTTGTACGATCGATTTTTTTCGATTTATACCCGAAAAGAGGGGGTGAATTTTTTGTTATAGAATAACTCGTTTATTTTCAATTTTACGAGAAAAATTGTTATAAACAAAGTTGTTTAAAATTAAATTTCCTACAATTCTGCTTTTTTTTGTACGATCGATTTTTTTCGATTTATACCCGAAAAGAGGGGGTGAATTTTTGGTTATAGAATAACTCGTTTATTTTTAATTTTACGAGAAAAATTGTTATAAACAAAGTTGTTTAAAATTAAATTTCCTAAAATTCTGCTTTTTTTTTGTACGATCGATTTTTTCGATTTATACCCGAAAAGAGGGGGTGAATTTTTGGTTATAGAATAACTCGTTTATTTTCAATTTTACGAGAAAAATTGTTATAAACAAAGTTGTTTAAAATTAAATTTCCTACAATTCTGTTTTTTTTTTGTACGCTCGATTTTTTTGTATTTATCCCTGAGAAGAGTGGGGGTAAACTCTTAGAAAAAATCGGAATCATAATTGTACCAAATAACATTTTTGAAAATCAGCAAAAAAAAACAAACAGAAAAAATAATGGTACAACATCAATAATAAACGTGACAATACAATACTTAGGTTCACCCCCACTCTTTTCAGGGATAAATACAAAAAAATCGATCGTACAAAAAAAACAGAATTGTAGGAAATTTAATTTTAAACAACTTTGTTTGTAACAATTTTTCTCGTAAAATTGAAAATAAACGAGTTATTCTATAACCAAAAATTCACCCCCTCTTTTCGGGTATAAATCGAAAAAAATCGATCGTACAAAAAAAAAGCAGAATTGTAGGAAATTTAATTTTAAACAACTTTGTTTGTAACAATTTTTCTCGTAAAATTGAAAATAAACGAGTTATTCTATAACCAAAAATTCACCCCCTCTTTTCGGGTATAAATCGAAAAAAATCGATCGTACAAAAAAAAGCAGAATTGTAGGAAATTTAATTTTAAATAACTTTTGTAAAAACTATTTTCCGTGTAAAATTGAAAATAAATGAGTTATTCAAGATACAAAAAATAAGCCTTTAAATCAAGATGGCGGAGGTAACGACAACTTTGGAATCCCAACTTTTTGAATTTAGACTACCAGAGACCCCCTCCAACGAATTCCGAAGGAAAATTGCTGCTTCGAATTTTTCAGAATCTAAAATACTAATCCGATTGGGCTATAAGGAAAGTATAGGAATCATGATTTTTTTCGACCTCGAGTTTTCGACGGATTTTTACGTTTTGAGGTCCCCTGAATCCGTTTTGACTATTTTTGCGATGATGTCTGTGTGTGTGTGTGCGTGCGTGCGTGCGTGTGTGAGAGCATGCGTGTGTGTGTGTGTAATAATTTTGCTAGGTCCTTTATATTTTGGAGCCAATTTCGAGGTGAAATGCTTAGTAGCATCAGAAATTGCAAAATTTTTCTTCCATACCAGATCATTGAGATTAAATTTGTCAACTCTGCGTCGCAGATTTCTCGAGAGCCTTCTGCAATCGCTTACTGACGTCTTTAAAGACTTCTTCGAGGGTATTACTCCGTTCCTGGGAGGTAGGAGGGTTCACTTCAGGTTCATCGACTTTACCATTAAAAGAACCATTAATATGTACTTCCCTTCCAAACACGATAAAGTTAGGGGTTAAATCGGTAACTTCGTGACGTGCTGACCTCATTGCCCATGCCACTTTCGGAAGGTATTTATCCCAACTTTTATGATGATCTCCCACGTAACTACGTAGCATGGCTTTCAGAGTATTGTTTGATTTTTCTACAGGTGATGCCTGAGGATGATAATTCGCAGTTGGAGTGTGTTTGATACCATACTCTTTGAGTAGCCCTTGAAATATTGAACTCTTAAACTGAGCTCCATTGTCTGTAATTAGACGATTTGGTGCCCCAAATATCAAAAAGACATTCTCTTCTAATCTCTTAACAATGTTGAGTGTTGTCATCGTTCTGAGAGGAAAAAACTGGGTAAACTTGCTAAAACAGTCTGTCACCGACAATATATAAGAATTCCCTGAACTGCTCCTGGGAAGAGGTCCTACGAGATCGATACTCAGAAGCTGAAATGGACGGGTGGAGGTAGGTATTTTACTAAGAGCATGACCAGCAGGTTTTCTTAGATCTGTCTTGGACTAAAGACAAGTAATACACCGATTTATGTATTGGGCCACATCGGCTTTAAGTTTTGGCCAATAATAGCGTTGGCAGATCCTGCCAACTGTCTTAAAAATACCAAGATGGCCGCAGGTAGGGGATCATGGTTTAACCTAATAATCTCCATCCGTTGTCCCTTAGGAACGACTAATAACCAACCATCGTTGTCGGGTTCCAACACAGGATATCGAGGGTTGCTTCTCTTCATCATCATCTGAATTAGGGCGTGGTTTAAAGCCCACTTGTACTGAAGCTCTAAGCTTATTGTACCCCTCACAGTTTCTATCCCATCAGATTGATTTTCTTGATGAATTCAAGAATATGTCTGATGGGCGCTTTCGCGATTTCTTCAGGTTCCGGATATTGTACCTTGAAGTACCATTCCCGTTCCCATTTAAGGTTCCGGCAGTGGCATAGTATGTGAATAGGAGTTTCGTCCTCCTCTTCACATATTCTGCATAGGGAGTTATCAGATATCCCTAAGAGATTTAGGTGTCTTCTAAGGACGCAGTGTCCCGTAAGGAGTCCTATTACGGCCTTGAGTTCGCTTCTGCTAAGGTTTAGCTTCTCTTAAACAGCTGGTGACTCTCCAATCGCCAGAGGGGATATTTGTCAGGAGATTCTAGTACCTTTTGGCACAGATTTTCGTACCACTTGTCAGTTGTTGGTGTTCGGATTTCATCAAGTAGGTCAATTTTTGGGACAGACCGGGATAGAGTGTCTGCTACAACGTGATCCTTTCCTTTCCGGTGAATGATTTCAAATTCATATTGTTGTAACCGAAGGGCCCATCTCGCAATACGACCAATAGGGTCTTTAATGTTAAAAAGCCACTTCAAACTATAGTGATCGGTTACAACATAAAATTTGGTTCCCTCCAGATAAGGACGTAGTTTTTCGACTGCGAAAATAACCGCAAGGCACTCTTTCTCGGTAGTGCTGTATCTGCGCTCAATTTTGGTCAGCGACCTACTAAGGTATGAGATGACCTTTTCTCCGTCATCCTGATGCTGCGACAATACCGCACCCAGACCGAAATCGGACGCATCAGTTTGAACGTAGAAGGGTTTGGTAAAATCTGGACATGACAAGATAGGTGCAGAAATGAGACAGTTCTTCAGGATTTCTAGTGCTTCTTGACATGTCTCGTCCCACTTAAAGGGTACATTCTTCTTTAATAAAGAAGTGAAAGGAGCCGTAAGAGTCGAAAAGTTAGGTACAAATCGACGGTACCATGAGGCTAATCCGACGATTCGGGTGCGTGTGTGTGTGTGTGCGCGCGCGCGCGTGCGTCAGAGCATGTGTGTGTGTGAGTGCGCGTGCGTGCGTTAGTGTGGATGTGCGTGGGTGCGTGCGTGCGTGTGTGTGCGTGCGTGTGCATGCATGCGTGTGTGTGCGCGTCCGTCCATGTACGCGTCCGTCCGTTCGTGTGTGTGTGTGCGCGCGCGTGTGTGTGCGCGCGTGCGCGCGTGTTTGTGTGTGCGCGCGTGCCTACGTGCGTGTGTGTGCGCGCGTGCGTGTGTGTGTGCGCGCGTGCGTGTGTGTGTGTGCTCTTGTATTTTTGCAACTTTTTTTTCTTGGTGACGCCTTTTCTAATTTCTGCACACTTTTTTAACAGCCTTTCTTTGTTCTATATATTTTTTCCCGTCTGTATCGTTCCCTGTTTTTAATTTCTTCATCACATTCGTTATCTAACCATTCTTTTATTTTCCGCGTTTTTTCTTATTAATATTTTTCTCAGTTAATGTTTTTATGGCATTCTTTATTTCTTTTCTATATCTATACCTCCTTGTTAAGAAATGATCAAACTTGATAGAGTCTATTTCAATAATGTTTTTAGCTATTTGAACACGGGTGTATGGCCGTTTGTACTAGTTGTCTCATTGGTATTCATCATTTTGAAGATATACGACTATTTGGTGCCTCGAAAATATATAGACATTGCTCCGGATTTCAACAAGAAGGTCAAGAAAAAGTCTGAATAAAAATAAGATATACCTCAGGTTGCAAATTTTTACAGAAATTTGAGACTGATTTTGTTCGCCATAATAAATCGTAAATAGTTCTATTTTCATTTTAAGTGATAGAATTGTCATTGTTATTCATGATTTTTTATTTTTCTACCATATTTTTGCATATCCAACTTCACTAATACTACTAAAAATAATTTTTTCAGTTTCTTTGAACTTTTCATGGAATGTTTTAATATTTGCTTGGGATAACGGGTAATAAAATTCTACAGGGTGGCTAAAAAGTGATAATTTTAAATCATGTAAAATAAATAGAGATTTCTTTCGATTTTGAAGTTGAAAATTCAGTTATTTGTTAAAATTTCGTCATCCTTTAAAACATATCATTGATTAGAAAATTGTTACCCTTTTAGTTCGCTTTTTAGGTTAGGAAGTATATATTTAAACTGCCATTATATTCTGTGATATCTAATTAAAATAGGGCATTAATTGTTATACAATGACATTTGTTATATATTTTGAAATAAATTTATATACAGAAAATGTTTTTTTATTTATTATTAATGAAGACAGGATACTTAGTAATTAAATGCTGCCAATGGAATAAACTAACATTCTACATACACACACTGAACTATAAGGTAAGTTATATAAGAAGAAACGTTGATTTATCATTATGATGTAAAATACATTATTAAAATTCATTCCAGCTTAGATTGTTGAAGAGTAAAAGTCTTTAATTTTCAAAAAGTAAATTTTTGTTTTTTAAAAAATTATTTTCGAGTTAAATAAATTTAACTGGCGCAGTCGTAGTAGGATCGACATTTATGTGAGTTTCAACTCTTTGCTGTCGAGAACTTTCCTTAGGGAATCTACCCTAGAGACGGAGGCCTGCTGAGCTGGAATCATCAGAAGAAGTTCAAGTAAGTACTGAGTACTCCTTTTATACTTCCTCTCATTTTACACTTACTTTTTGTGAATTTTAGAATAGGTTAAGTGAATAAAAATTGTTTTTTGATCGAAAGAAAATATATAAAAAAAATTGTATGAACTATATAGAAAATTTAATCGCAGATTTTAATAAAAAAATTAATATGGTGGATGGAAAATCATTAAATGCAAATCAAGCGAACGTAAATCAAATAAATGCAAATCAAGTAAATGTTGATATCGTCGGCCTAATGTGAAAATTGCACAAGTCCCAAAACCTAAATTTTACAGGAGAACAAAAAACTATTTTATTTCTTTAATAACAGTTACCTGTTGAAAAATAAAGAAGTTATGCAAAATTCATTCTTATATCCAGTACAAAGATGGACTTATGCGAATTTCACATAATAAAACAACAGTATTTTCCTACCTAAGGTTATTTTTACTTTCCTATCTATATACAGATATAAGGAAAGTATAGGAATCATGATTTTTTTTTACCTCGAGTTTTCGACGGATTTTTACGTTTTAAGGTCCCCTGAATCCGTTTTGACTATTTTCGCGATTATGTCTGTCTGTGTGTGTGCGTGTGTGTGTGCGTGTGTGTGTGTGTGTGTGTGTGTGTGTGTATGTGTGTGTGTGCGTGCGTGCGTGCGCGTGTGTGTGTGTGTGTGTATGTATGTGTGGTGTGTGTGTGTGTGTATGTGTGTGTGTGCTAAAAAATGCGATTTTCACTCTCACTCCACTCTTTCACTTACACTCTTTATAACTTGACTGTTTAGTGTTGTGTGTTACGGAACACACCCCCTTCATATGACAACGACATTGTCATTGTGCCACTTGTCACTTGTCTGTCATAATTATTATAAGCTCCGAGCAATAGGTCTTTTCCTTTGCATCGAAAGTGTAGCACTGAGTTACGTCACTTCTGAAAATATTGTTCCATCCATACAATTTGTATATATGGAACGATATTTTCAGAATTGGTGTAGCCCAGTGCTACACTTTCGATGCAAAGGAAACGACCTATTTAAGGCATTTCTTTATAAGCTTACCAGAACATACTTCTGTAACCAGAGCATTTCTTTATAACGTTTGGTTACTCTGCTTTGGTTACATGTTACCAAAGCATATGTAGCTACATCTAACGAGGCATTTCTTTATAAGCTTACCATAACTTACTAGAACATACTTATGTAACCAAAGCAATTCTTTAAACGGTTTGGTTACTTCCATGACGTCATACGTTACCAAAATACGTAACTACTACTAACCATGATGTTTTTAGTGGTAAGGTCAGTAAGGTCCACATTTAAACATATCGAGCATGCGCAAAGTATTGTAAAGATATTAAATTAGATACATTTTTCTGTGGTTACGGGTTATATGATTCATTTTGTATATTTGGGTTGGGCATTTTTGTATTTACCAAAGAAAACTCTATTTACTATGAAAGAAATTACATTTGAAATACAGGGCACTGAAATAACTCTTCACGAGAGCGATGTCGATGACCACTGGATACTGTTATTTATATTGAAATATAAAGATGAAAATATGAGACTACTGGCACAAGTATTTATCATTGTTATTTCATCACAAATAACACTTATTAATTTTTTTACTTCCTTTTGTTGGAGGAGACATATTTAAATAAATAACAAAAGAACGAAAACCAAATGACGTCTGTGACAAAAACACTTTTATTTATCTGAACAAAAACAAAGTAAACAAATCCCCAATTTGACATGTGACAACGACAAGTGCTACGAGTTACCACGGTATGTCTGACGTCATCAGAGTAACCACAACGCTGTTACGAAGTATGTCGTGTTAAGCTTATAAAGAAATGCCTTTATTTATAAGCTTACTAGAACATACTATAATAAAAAATAACAAAGTCAAAACATCCTAAAATTTCTAAAATACAAATTTCGTTTAGAAATCCCCAAACTTAAATTAAATTTGACATATGACATTCAATAATAGGGAAACCATGGTATGCGTAATGTCACCACAGTAACCACAATACTGTAACCAAGTATGTTGTAGTAAGCTTATAAAGAAATGCCTAAAAGAAAGCATAACAAATTACAGGGTGGACTCTGTAGCTTCGTTTCTATAACCGTTTAATGTTTTCTTCGTTTTTCTCCGTAACTAATTATTCAATTACTATGTAAATAAGCACAGATGTAGAGCAAGACAGATACTTTAGGGTGCTGTTTCCCTTTCGTTTCTATCTTGAGCAGTTTAGGCACTATTCAAGTTCAAAACTTCAAACGGGAATATCTCGGAAACGGTAAGAAAAAGAGCAAAATGACCCAGGGGTCAACGGAGCAGGGGTAGTATTCTCGAAGCACAAATACCGACATTCGCATACGTGTTTTACAATGTGTCTCACTTTGTTGAACGAAAACCAAGTGAGACAAATCATAAATCTCGCATGCGAATCTATATTCGTGACTCGAGAATACTACCCCAGGCCCAAAAATGAAGTGCGTAGGGAGCTCTATCGACACACGCAATAAAAACGATTATTTTTTTCGAAATTTTCAAAAATTTTTCAAAAGTCCACTTTTCGTCGATTTCAGATTTCATAGTCGAAAAAAATTTATTCTCAGTCATTTTTATTCTAAAATGTGGACACAACATGGCGAAACAAAACATTTTTAAACTAGTCTCGCCATCTATGGACGAATTTACAAACAAGGAGTAGTTAATAATAGAATACTATTTTGATATATTTCTTGTTTTGACAACTTGTCAGTAGATGGCGCCAGCAGTACAATTAACAAGAGCTGGCCATTTTCTATCCATAAAAGTTTTTCGATTTTGCTGAAATTTGGTACAGAGAATCAGGATGTAAAACTAAATGTCGGAGTGGTGTCTGTTACTCAATATCTCTCCTCGTTCAAAAGTTGAAAAAACTTGCTCCGATTTGGACGAAACGTTGCATACAGTAAGTAGACGACAAGTACGATTGAAGAAAGTTAGTTGCAGTTCTTCAAGTTTACTAGTTATTACAAAACATGCCTCTACTATTTGACCATTTATGTTAGCGAGAAACGGACTATTTTTCTAAACGTTTTAGAGCGTATACTGTACACTGTCCGTTTTTCAGCTCAATCGGAGACCTTGAATTTTTCGAGAATAATCGAAAGGGTATAGCCTTCAAAAATTTTTGCATAAAAAGTTTTTCGTCTTCAATTTCGCTGAAATTTGGTACAGAGAATCAGTATGTAAAACGTAATGTCGGAGTGGTGTCTGTTACTCAATATCTCTCCTCGTTCAAAAGTTAAAAAAAGTTGCTCCGATTTGGACGAAACGTTGCATACAGTAAGTAGAAGACAAGTACGATTGAAGAAAGTTAGTTGCAGTTCTTCAAGTTTACTAGTTATTACAAAACAAGCCTCTACTCTTTGACCATTTATGTTAGCGAGAAACGGACTATTTTTCTAAACGTTTTAGAGCGTATACTGTACATTGTCCGTTTTTCAGCTCAATCGAAGACCTTGAATTTTTCGAGAAAAATCGAAAGGGTATAGCCTTCAAAAATGTTTGCATAAAAATTTTTTTGTCTTCGATTTCGCTGAAATTTGGTACAGAGAATCAGGATGTAAAACTAAATGTCGGAGTGGTGTCTGTTGCTCAATATCTCTCCTCGTTCAAGAGTTGGAAAAAGTTGCTCCGATTTGGACGAAACGTTGCATACAGTAACTAGAAAACAAGTACGATTGAAAAAAGTTAGTTGCAGTTCTTCAAGTTTACTAGTTATTACAAAACAAGCCTCTACTATTTGACCATTTATGTTAGCGAGAAACGGACTATTTTTCTAAACGTTTTAGAGCGTATACTGTACACTGTCCGTTTTTCAGCTCAATCGGAGACCTTGAATTTTTCGAGAATAATCGAAAGGGTATAGCCTTCAAAAATTTTTGCATAAAAATTTTTTCGTCTTCAATTTCGCTGAAATTTGGTACAGAGAATCAGTATGTAAAACGTAATGTCGGAGTGGTGTCTGTTACTCAATATCTCTCCTCGTTCAAAAGTTAAAAAAAGTTGCTCCGATTTGGACGAAACGTTGCATACAGTAAGTAGAAGACAAGTACGATTGAAGAAAGTTAGTTGCAGTTCTTTAAGTTTACTAGTTATTACAAAACAAGCCTCTACTCTTTGACCATTTATGTTAGCGAGAAACGGACTATTTTTCTAAACGTTTTAGAGCGTATACTGTACATTGTCCGTTTTTCAGCTCAATCGAAGACCTTGAATTTTTCGAGAAAAATCGAAAGGGTATACCCTTCAAAAATTTTTGCATAAAAATTTTTTTGTCTTCGATTTCGCTGAAATTTGGTACAGAGAATCAGGATGTAAAACTAAATGTCGGAGTGGTGTCTGTTGCTCAATATCTCTCCTCGTTCAAGAGTTGGAAAAAGTTGCTCCGATTTGGACGAAACGTTGCATACAGTAACTAGAAAACAAGTACGATTGAAAAAAGTTAGTTGCAGTTCTTCAAGTTTACTAGTTATTACAAAACAAGCCTCTACTATTTGACCATTTATGTTAGCGAGAAACGGACTATTTTTTTAAACGTTTTAGA